GTATTTCTCTCCCCTAATTCCCTGCCTAGTAAAGACAAAAGCAATGGAATCTTGACCTTTCTGGGATCAATCTTTTCATCTGTAGTGGTTACTTTGGTATCTGAGGTTTCAGGGACTTCACCAACAATTATTTCACTAATAGCTTCAGAGTGCTTCAAAGTCAACTACAAAATACAACTCCAAAAAATTTTTTTGCTTTAGTTTTCGGTATAAAATTATTCTCACACACCTTGTTGATATTCTTATTCTTCCTTAACTGGAACATATATATACATATTTTTCTTTTCTATTAAGACTTCAGTTGACACTTTGCCAGGGATTTAACTAAACATGTTTTTCAATTTATTTATTTAATGGGCCTTTGTCATTTCTCTTGACCCCCAAATTTGATGGATTTGTTTTCTCCTCCTCTAAGAGGTCTTTACTAAGAGCATTTCACCCACAAATGCTTGCTGCAATCATTTTAGAAACCAGCTTATATACTCCTTACCAATTACACCTCATCCTGGTAAGTTTTTTTTTTTTCCTTTTAAAAATACACCTGGATAGTTAAACCTTATCTGTTTTAAAACTTTACAAGTTTTATTTATTCCTTCCAGCTCAGTTTACTATCTTCAAAATGTGGTCTCTGGGGCTTCCCTGGTGGCTCAGCAGTGAAGAATCCACCTGCCAATGCAGGAAACACGGGTTCTATCCCTGGTCCAGGAAGATCCCACATGCTGGAGCAACTAAGCCCTGAGCTCCACAACTACTGAGTCTGTGCTCTAGAGCCCTGGAACCACAACCACTGAAGCCTGCATGCCCTAGAGGCTGTGTTCTGCAACAAAAGAAGCTACTGCAATAAGAAGCCCGCACACCGCTGAGTACAGAGCAGCCTCCACAACTAGAGAAAAGCCCAAGAAGCACTAAAGACAGAGCAGCCAAAAATAAATAAATAAATAAAAAATTTTAAAATGTGGTCTATGATCTATAGTAAACAGATTCACTCTTTAGAGGGAACTATAAAACTCATTTTATGATTCTGTATTCATTCAATGTATACATATATTCACTGTAAGATTCTGAATATTTGTGTCACATAAAACTTCACAAATAAAAGAATATGAGCTTCATAATCATGCAGGTCTAGATTCAGATTCAGCTATGAACACTCTTGAATCTCTGGGCAAACTACTTACCTACTGATACTTCAGTTCTCCCTTAAGTAAAATGGAAGTAACTATCACGTGTAAAGCAACAGGGGCTAGGATAATGAGCATAATGTATGTAAAAGCAGCAATGTATGCCAAATGCCTACAAATGATGACTGTCATATTACATCATCATATAATAGAAAAAAATGTTAATTCACTCTCTCTTCCCTTCCAACTCCAGGAAAAGGCCAATAAATGCTGTGCTCCTCAATTTAATTCCATTATTACATGCCCTTAAGTAAAAACAGTTTGGCAATATGAACTGAGTTTTTGGATGTTCATATACACTGACCCAATATTTTCACTTTGGGAAATCTATTGTAATGAAATAATCTAAAACACAGGAATTGTTTTATGTATAAGGATGTTCATTGTAGTGTTTATTATAACTGCAAAAATATAATAAAAGAAACCTGCTAACTGTCCAACAGCAAAATGTTTAATTATGAGAAATTCATAAAAATATTATGTGGTCATTTAAAAAGATGCTGACAAAATAATTTCATAGCATGTCAGATGCTTATGGTGCTAGGTTGAAAAAAGCAAATTAATATTAAAGTCTCAACTGTATAAAACTCAAATAAACTGAGAAAAAATATTGGAAGGAAATGTATCAAAGGGCTTAATCACCTCATGGTCCTGATTGTGATTATTATTTTATGGTTGCTTTCTATAGTTTTCTAAAATACCAATGACCATGTCAAAGATGATGATAATAACAGTTATTATTTATGAAGTGACATGCCAGGCCCAGTTCTAAGAACTTATTGTATTACACTGAAAAGACTTGCTTTGTTTTAAAATTTTTACCATTAAAAAGACATGTGTTGATTCAAATCTTGTAGTCTTTCAGATAACAGATTTCCTTCAGCTTTCCTTCAATTCTGAGTTCAAATATTTGCTCAGCTATCAGGTGCCATTTTGGAATAAGATGTAGCCACCATTTCTGTATTGGTTCTATCTACTGCAGAAAATTCTAAGACAAATCTACACCCTAATTTCCTGTTCTAGTATGTCATTTAACCATTAAGACTCTGGAACTCTTAACATTATTAGACAGTACTTCAAATAATTCTAGTAAGGAGGTCTTGAAATAAGCAAATGTGGCTTCTGGAAACTCCTTCCCACCCTAACACCCATCTGTGTGTGCATTCTAAGTCACTTCAGTCATGTCCTGACTCTTTGGGACCCTATGGATTTAGCCTGTCCATGGCATGTTCCAGGAAAGAATAGTGGAGTAGGTTGCCATGCCCTCCTCCAGGGGATCTTCCTGATCCAGGGACTGAACCTGAGTCTCCTGAGGTTGCTGCATTGCAGGCAGATTCTTTACCACTGAGCCACCAAGGAAGGCCAACACCCATCTATAGAATTATAAATCTACAGTTACCACTTCTGCAAACCTCTGTCTTCCATTGTAAATTCCGCACCCTGTACAATCCAGGAGACCTCTCTTACCTGCCAGCACTCACCAGAGAGCTATCATAGCACTGGCTGAATGGAACCAACTAAGAAAGATTTTCAACATCTGGGGAACTAAGCTGTCTCTTAGCTGTCTCATCCTACCTTTCTGAAGGTGGAATTATTCTACACTGTTTCTAAAAACTTCTCACTTTGATTTTCTCAGCTTTTTCACCCTTTTGTTTTTTAGGAACAAGATCTCTTTGAATACCAATATGTATTCAAATATCAATTTTAGGGAAAAATTCATAATTTATATCCTGGGCAAAACAAATAACTCCCACTTATTGCTGTGTTCTTCTCTGAAGTTTACATTTGATAAATTTATTTCATTATATATGTCACATATATATGTTATATATATGATTTGGCTTCCCTTATTACCAAATTTCCTTTCTTAAAAACAGTGTCTGCAGTAATCCAACATGGTTAACTGCAAGCAATTCTTCTAAATATAATACATTTATATTTCAATGCAGTTCATTTATAGGATTTAGAAAAACAGAGTTCATGAGATGGCTTTAACATTATATAAAAAAAATTAGTCATAAAAACAATGGCTACAAAAAGTTTTGATAATGGAAAGATTTACAACTGGAATCATATATTTACCAAAATCTTATCCTGCTCATAATATATAATGATAATAAGCTATACAACTTTAAAATATTTTAAGATACTTCTGTGGGGGTAATTCAGTAATTCCCTGAATATCTAGGATGAAAATGTAACAACATCAAGGCTGATCTGGTAGGGGCCTCTTTTAGGTAAAAGAAAATGGATCACTAGTAGTTCATCAGGCTCTCATTAAATTAGGTGAACTGCCAAACTGTTATGCATTTATGCATTGCATACACTGCAGAGTAAAAAAGAAACCTGCACCTTCAAGCTAGTATTTCTCTTTAGCAGTTGCAAGTTTTCAACTTGGTGGAGTCATTCTCTAAGAAGAATAGGTGCAGAAGGTAAAAATGGAAAACAGAATTGATTTCTAAAAAAGGAATCCTCCCCTGATTAAGTATGACTTATTTACCGTTCTAATATGAAAGCTTAGACAAAATAGAGAAACTTAAAACCAAAGGTAACTTTTGTTATCCTAAAAACGAGCATGTCAGGACAGCCATTTTACAGTCTTGCATTTTCAAATACCTACTACACGATACAACTTGTATTAAAAAAAAAAAATCTTTCCTTTAGGTAAAAAAAAAAAAAAAATCAACCACCATTTACACACTCATCATTGAAGTTACAAGCTTCAAGGCAGGATTGCTACTGAGCTTCTTAACACAACTGTCAAAATCAATTTGTGGACAGTCTCCAACTTTAATTTTCTATATTTTTATCTGTGGAAGAACGGAACTGATTAGTGATGGTTAAGGTAACGCGCTTAAAACTATGCAGTCCTTGTACAATCCAGTTGATTCTTACAATGTGAAAACAAGTTAACAAGCGATTGCTTTCAAAAGGAAGAAAACCACTCCCCAAACAGGTTGCTTGTGGCGTGGGTCCGCTTCTCAGCAGCAGTTCCCTGGGGCGTGTTCGCGTGGGAGAAGTACAGAAGCGCAGAAGTGCAAAAACATAGACCCACGCAAAACCCGTAGTTACAAACATTAAAATTATGTAAACACGTCGTGAAACCACGAGTCCCCAAGGGGAAAAAAGCCGCCTGGAGACAGCGATCAGCCGTCAGAGTGTGGAGGCGGTGGTGCGTGCGGGCCCGGGACGCCGGAGCAGAGGGGGCCGGGCGGGGACAAAGAGCGGGCATCCGGGGCAGCGCCCGACGGTGCCCAGAACCCGCGGGGAACAGCTGTCCCGGGGCAGCGGCTGCGGTCCCCAGGGCCCTCAAACGCCGCGGTTCAAATAGCTCCCTGAGGCGCAGACCTTCTTCCTGCCACCCCTCAGAGGCTACGGGCCCTAATCTCGGACACCTGAAGAGCCGCCGCCCGCCCCCAGTCCGGATCCCCAAGGACGCGCGGGCCAGCAGCTGTTGGGCTTAGAACCGCGCCGCCGCCGCCGCCGGGCTCCAAACGGCCAGGCTGGCACCGATGAAGCGGCGGCGCCTCTCCCCGCGGCCGTCAGGCTGCTTGCGAACAGCTTGCCTCGGTTCCCGCCCTCCAGTCAGGGGCCGCGCACCCTCACGCCACCTACCCGGTCCCACACCATCCCAGAGGCCTCCGGCGCTCGGGCCCTCTGCCGAAGCGGCGCTGCCTCCCGTCCGGGGCCTGAAATGGCTGCGGAACAAAGAGAATCTGGGCTCCGGCGAGCGCCGGTCCGATTGGACGGGGGGCGGGGCCCGCCGCGGGAACGTTCGGCGGCGGTCGCCTTGGCAACGGCGCCGGGGCTGGGAAAACCGCGGCGGGGGGACTGAGGGGCCTAAGGACCTGCGCCTGGCGGCGCGTGGCAGCGGTTTCTAAGCCCGCGCTGCAGCCTTGGGCCTCGGGCCTCGGGCCTCGGCCCGCTGCAGTGCTCCAGCTCGCGCCTCCTGCGGCCGGCTCGCGGGCCTGAGCCTATGGCTCAGGAGGAGCCGCTGCTGACGTTGCTCTGCACTGTGAGGCCTCGGCCAAAATGGCCCTGCAAGTGTGGCTGCCCCCGAGCACGACGGCCCTTCCCGGGGACCAACTCCAAAGTGACAGCCCAGCCCCGGGAGCCTATTTAATACCGAACGTGCCGCATATTCCACATAATACAGTTCCAGCGCCTCTGGTAAAAAGCAGGAATGGCTTCAATGGCTAGATAGAGTGGACGCTTGTCCGAGAATATTACAGGATAGCTTTTGAGGTATGCTGTGTCTAACACATCGACTGCTATGTAGGTGAAATTAAATGCTTTCTAAAATTAGGTTTTACGTCTTCAGGCGTGTGTTCATATAAAAGTGTCGTTTCTTGCTGTTGGAAATAACAGGTTCTCCTCTCCGTAACAGGCCATCATGAGAAATTAAAATGTCTTCTATTTTCTGAACAGAAAAATATTTATACTTTATATAAATGAGTATATAAAGGTAGACGTTTTATATACTCATTTATAATAATGGTAGTGAATAGATAAATAGTTCCCTGCCCCACATTAGTCTTACTTATAAATTTACTATATATGAATATTTTAAATTTGCAAAGCTAGATCATTATTTCCTAAGGTGAGGATGCCGCTGATAATATTCTTCCTCACGTGGTCAATGTGTGTAAAAATACCAGCAGTTTTGACTATCCTACTTGCAAATGCTGTATACATTACGTTTTGAAAATGTGTGGTGGTTGTTGCCTTCCAGGTATATTCTAGATAAAATTGTAGTACCAATACTAAAAAGTGTTTTTTGATACTGAGACATCTTGTTAATAAACTTGTTAATTTTCATTTGTAACAACAATCATTTTATGAAAGAATGTTTATTTAACTTAGACTTTGAGTAGAAAAGGAGATTTTCTATCATTAGAAAATTGAACGTAGAAGAAAAAATATTTTAAATAACTAAAATATTTATAATTTTGATTAACATTTTCTAACGGTAATTCTGGGAGGCTGCCTCATCAGCCTACAAATTCAGTAGTGGTTGCATGCAGTAGTGTGAAACAAAAAGAGGCCGCTGAAATAGGAATAGATTACCAAGAAAAAAAATCTTAATGTCACCCTTTCTAATTGATAGTTCAGTATATCTGCAGGGATATTTATCCAAAATACGTGTATTTATCCAAGTAACAAATGGTATATTTCTGCGTTTGAGAAGTCCTGTCATGGAATAGGGAGCCTTGTTCTCTACAAATCAGGGTGTATGTGGTACTTGTATGCTGCTTTGCTAAAGAAAAATAACAGAAATACTTTTAAAATGTGTAGGATTAGCAAATAATGACAGGTGTAAAGATATATTGATTAAGCAATTACTAATGAATTTGCCTAACTAATAGTTTGGAAATAGTTTAATTAGAAAAAAGTAAAGTATTATTTAATGTATGTGAGAAGATTTATTGACCAACATATTTTGAAAGGAAAAAATACTGATTATCAATGTTTTGAAATTGAGACTAGGCAAATTAAATATCCATTCTTTTATAAAATGTAAATGAAAATGAATTAAAATTTTAATATAAAATAGTTCTCTATTGGATACAGAGATATTTAGACATGTAGGCTTTTAATATTTGTCCTTTAAGTTAAATTAAAAATACATTTTTTAAACAGTAAATCTTCTTATCATTAACAAGGATTTATTAACACAACTTATTTTATTTTAAATTTCATGTTATTTGTTCCTCTTGGCACAATTAACCAAATGAAGTAGCATCTAATCCAGGAGTGTTTTCTCTTTACACCCAAATACAGTACAGCATTGCTCATGTGATAAACTTTTAAGAATTGTTGGTATTTTAAATGACATATACTGAAATTAAAAATAGTAAATAAACTTTGAGTTTAACTTCAGAACCATTATAGATATCATATTTTAAATTTCTGTATTAAAATTTATTTCTTAGGTAAAAACATGACCATGATAAAATCAAGGCATGATAGAAGTTACAAAATAGCATTAAGGGAGAAAACATACCTATACGCTTTCACCTTGGAAAGAAAAGATGCTTACTCTGTAGGTTGTAGCACTGTTAAAACAATCATGAATCTCAGAAGCAGAGGCTCTGTATGCACTTACAGACACTTTCAGTGTGGTCCTTCTGATCGTCACTTTGTCTTAAACAGGATTAAATAAGATAAAGTATATTAGGAGCTCATTAGCAGATTGCCTGACAGATAGTTGGAGGGCAATAAAAGATAGTATTATTAGGTATTAACACATATAAAAGAGCAGATGTTTGAGAAGGAGGAATGGTTATTGAAAAGATAATAGGTCTGGAAATCCAGAAATTGTTAACTATTTTTAATAGTCAGTTATTAGTGAGTACATAGAAACTCAGTAAGATAACTGAAACTATCTATTAGATACAGGGAAGCTTCCAAAATAGAAAGCTTCCGAGAAATGCTTCCATTTTACACTTCTGGAGAGTTGTGGATTGTCTCTAGATCCTTTAACACTAGGTAGCTGAAGGAATTGCCTTCCATTGCAATATGTTCAGATTGGCAATAAGGTAACAACATTTAAAAAACAATTATACAGAGGAGTTTAATGCAAATGTTAGAAAAAGACAGTTGTATTCAATATTCAAATATTTGTAAATAATCTATAAGCATTTCTCACTTAAAGCAAACCCAATTTGTAGTTTGAATGTACAGAAGAGATATACAAGGGAATTATTATTAACTGGGAAAAGATTAACTTCAAAGTTCCTTTAACTATTAATATCTCCTAGTGATTAAAATATAATTCTATTTATAAAAATGTCTACTTAGACTTCTGCTTCTGGGAAGATGGAATAGACCTACCTTTTGCTCTTCTCACAAAGTACAGCTGAAATCCTTGAACATTACACACAAAACAAGCATACATTTTACACATAAAGCATTACACATATGTTACACATAAAACATCCATGAAAGAGAGAAAACAGACCAGCTAAGGTCCTGGAAACCCAAGGAATACAAAAATTAGTTACCTGAGTTTTCTTTTTGCCTCATAGATCCCAGACTTGAAATTGAAGAAGCTGGCTACTTGGAAGCGTTTATGGTGCAGACCAAGAAAGACCCAAGAAAATATTCCTCTCTTTAGCTGAAGGACCAGTAAAGGGGCAGTATAGCAGACAGAAAACATTTAGACAATAAATGCTCTACTCCAGACAAAAACTATGAAAAAAATATGACTCCTCCTGTCCCCTAATTCATGGTAGCAAAGGTCTGGTGGAGAGCCAAGACTTTCACCTCAGCTTCCCCTTGCCTCTTGGCAAGAGAAAGTTAGGTAGGGAGTTAGGACATTCATCCCACTAACCAGTAATGGGAAGCCTCCTGCTTTGGGTGTCAATGGAGGCCAAATAGGGAACTTGGACTTCTTCCCCAACCTGGCAGTAATGAGGTGGTACCTGCTCCCCACCCCCACTTCCACTTGGAATGCTGTGTCAGAAAAAGCCAGCTAAAATAAGAGATTTAAATAAGATCTAAAATCTCATAGTACAATACCCTCAATATCTAGATTTCACCTGAAAATCAATGGTCATTTAACGAACTAGGAAGATTTCAAACTGTATATAAAAGAGACAATAAATGATAAAATCAAGATGAGAGGGTTGTTAGAATATCTGACAAAGAGTTTAAAGCAGACAGAGAAATCTGAGAAATGCTTCTCTGAACAGCTACAAAAATACTTGAGACGGAAAATGAAAATCTTCAGCAAAGTAATAGGAGATATTAAAAAGAACCAATGGAAACTTTAGAACTAAAAATTTAATAATTAACTAAGATCATGGCATCCAGTCCCATCATTTCATGGCAAATAGAAGGGGAAAGGGTGGAAGCAGTGACAGATTTCTTCTTGTGCTCTAAAATCACTGCAGATGGTGACTGCAGTCATGAAATTAGAAGATGATTGCTTCTTGGAAGGAAAGCTATGACAAATCTAGACAGTGTATTAAAGTGCAAAGACATCACTTTGCCAACAAAGGTCTGTATAGTCAAGGCTATAGTCTTTCCAGTAGTCGTGTATGGATGTGAGAGCTGGACCATAAAGAAGGCAGAGTGCTGAAGAGTTAATGCTTTTGAACTGTGGTGTTGAGAGTCCCTTGGACTTCAAGAAGATCAAACCAGTTGATGCTAAAGGAAATCAACCCTGAATACTCATTGGAAGGACTGGTGCTAAAGCTGAAGCTCCAATACTTTGGCCACCCGATGTGAACAGCCGACTCATTGGAAAAGACCCCAATGCTGGGAAAGATTGAATGAAGGCAGAAGGAGAAGAGGGTATCAGAGAATGAGATGATTGGATGGCATCACCAATTTAATGGACATGAACTTGGGGAAACTCTGGGAGGTGGTGAAGAACAGGGATGCCTGGCATACTGCATTGTGTGGGGTCACAAAGAGTCATATGTGACTTGGTGACTGAACAACATCAACAGAAAACTAAGTGGATGGGTTTAGTAACACAATGGAGGAGTACAAGGAAAGAATCAGTGAACCTGTAGATAGATAAATAGAAATTATCCAATCAAACAATAGAAAGAAAATAGATTTTTTTTTTTAAATGAGCAGAGTTTCTTGAAGTTAAGTGACTAACTAAAGATCTAACATTCATGTCATCAGGGTCCTGGAAAGAGAAAAGAAAGAAGGTGGGCCTAAAAATACTCAAAGATATAATGGCTGAAAACTTCTGAAATTTGACAAAAGACATAAATCTATAGCGTATTTTCAGTGAAGGTCCCCAAACAGCTAAATGAGGTGTTTTCAACAAATAGTGCTGGGACAACTGAGTATTCATATGCAAAAGGGTAAAATTGGACCCATACTTTGTACCATTTACAAAATTTAACTCAAAATGGATCATAGAACTAAATTTAAGAGCTAAAACTATAAAATTCTTGGAAGAAAACATGGAAGTAGATATTTGTACCTTGTGTTAGGAAAAGACTTCTTAGATATGATACCAAAAGCATAAGCAACAAAAGAAAATACTAGATAAATTGGACTTAAATAAAATTTAAAACTTTTGTGCTTCAAAGGATACCATAAAGAAAGTGAAAAGGCTACCCATAGAAAGGGAAAAAGATATTTGCAAGTCACATATCTGATAGACTTCTTCTAGAATAAACAACTCATATTTCAATAATATAAAGACAAATAATCTAGTTTAAAATAGGCAAAAGATCTGTATAGGCATCTCTCCAAATAAGACACACAGATTGCCAATAAGCATTTGAAAAGATGCTCAGTCTCATTAGTTATTGTTCAGTTGCCCACTCATGGGCAACTGGGCAAACTAGACTCTTTGTGACCCCATGGGCTATAGCATGCCAGACCTCCCTTTCCCTCGCCGTCTCCCAGTTTGTCCAAGTTCAGGTCCATTGCTTTGGTGATACCATCCAGCCATCTCATCTTCTGACAGCTAACTCATTGGAAAAGACCCTGATGCTGGGAAAGATTGAAGACGGAAGAAGAGGGCACCAGAGGCCTCTGACACCCTCTTCTTCTGCCTTCAGTTTTTCCCAGCTTCGGGGCTTTTCCAATGAGTCATCTGTTTGCATCAGATGACCGAAATACTGGAGCTTCAGCTTCAGCAGTGTTCAGGGTTGATTTCCCTTAAGATTGACTGGTTTGATCTCCTTGCTGTCTAAGGAGTCTTCTCCAGCACCACAGTTTGAAGGCATCAATTCTTTGGTGCTCTGCGTTCTTTACAGTCCAGCTCTCACAACCAGATGTGACCACTGGGAAGACCACAGCCTTGACTATATGGACGTTCGTCGGCAGAGTAATGTCTCTGCTTTTCAACACACTGTCTAGGTTTGTTATCACTTTCCTGCGAAGAAGCAATCATTTTCTGATTTCATGGCCACAGTCACCATCCTCAGTGATTTTAGAGCTCAAGAAGAGGAAATCTGTCACTACTTCCACCTTTCCCCCTTCTATTTGCCATGAAGTAATGGGGTCAGATGCCATGATCTTCGTTTTTTAAAATATTTAATTTTAAGCTGGCTCCTCCTTCACCCTCATCAAGAGGCTCTTTAGTTCCTTTTCACTTTCTGCCATTAGAGTGGTATCATCTGCATATCCCTCATGGCAGAAAGTGAAGAAGAACTAAAAAGCCTCTTGATGAAAGTCAAAAAGGAGAGTGAAAAAGTTGGCTTAAAGCTCAACATTCAGAAAACTAAGATCATGGCATCTGGTCCCATCATTTCATGGCAAATAGATGGGGAAACAGTGGAAACAGTGGCTGACTTTATTTTTTGGGGCTCCAAAATCACTGTGGATGGTGATTGCAGCCATAAAATTAAAAGACACTTACTCCTTGGAAGGAAAGTTATGACCAACCTAGAGAGCATATTAAAAAGCAAAGATATTACTTTGTCAACAAAGGTCCGTATAGTCAAGGCTATGGTTTTTCCAGTAGTCATGTATGGATGTGAGAGTTGGCCTATAAAAAAAAAGCTGAGTGCTGAAGAATCTATGCTTTTGAACTGTGGTGTTGGAGAAGACTCTTGAGAGTCCCTTGGACTGCAAGGAGATCCAACCAGCCCATCCTAAAGGAGATCAGTCCTGGGTGCTCATGGGAGGGACTGATGTTGAAGCTGAAGCTCTGATACTTTGGCCACCTGATGTGAAGAACTTATTGGAAAAGACCCTGATGCTGGGAAAGATTGAGGACAGGAGGAGAATGGGATGACAGAGGATGAGATGGTTGGATGGCATCACCAACACAATGGACATGGGTTAGAGTGGACTCCGGAAGTTGGTGATGGACAGGGAGGTCTGGCGTGCTGCGGTACATGGTGTCGCAAAGAATCAGGCATGACTGAGTGACTGAACTGAACTGAACTGATCTGCATATCTGTAGTTGTTGATGTTTCTCCCGCCTATCTTATTTCCACCTTGTAATTTATCCACCTGGCATTTCTCATGATGTGCTCAGTGTATAGGTTAAATAAACAGAGTGACAGCAGACAGCCTTGGTGTAATCCTTTCTCAATCCTGAACCAATCAGTTGTTCCATACAGGGTTCTAACTGTTGCTTCTTGACCCACGTGCAGGTTTCTCAGGAGACAGGTAAGATGGTCTGGTATTCCTTTCTCTTTAAGAATTTTCCACAGTTTGTTATGATCCACACAGTTAATGGCTTTAGCATAGTCGATGAAACAGGTAGATATTTTTCTGGGATTCCGTTTCTTTCTCTATGATCCAGCAAATGCTGGCAATTTGGTCTCTGGTTCCTCTACCTTGTCTAAAACCAGTTTGGACATCTGAAAGTTCTTGGTTTGCATAATACTGAAGCCTCGTGTGCAAGATTTTAAACATGACCTTACTAGCATGGGAGATGAGTGTAATTGTCCAATGGCTAAAACATTCTTTAGTACCAAACTTCTTGGGAATTGGGATGAGGACTGACCTTTTCCAGTCCTGTGGCCCCTGCTGGGTCTTCCAGATTTGTTGACATATTGAGTGCAACATTTTGGCAGCATCATCCTTTAGGGTTTTGAATAGCTCTGTTGAAATTCCATCATATCCACTAGCTTTATTGACAGCAGTGCTTCCTAGGGTCCACTTGACTTCACACTCCAGAATGTCTGGCTCTGGGTAACTGACCATACCATCATAATTATCCAGTTCATTAAGATCTTTTTTGTACGGTTCTTCTGTGTATTCTTTCTATCCTTGATTTCTTCTGGGTCTACTAGGTCTCTACCATTTCTGTCCTTTATTGTGCCCATCTTTGGGTGAAATGTTCCCTTGATATTTCCAATTTTCTTGACGAGATCTCTAGTCTTAGCTATTAGGGAAATGCAAATCAAAAGAACAAGATACCACTCCACATGTACTAAAATAGCCATAGTAAGAAGCGTAGATAATAATAAGTACTGACAAGGATGTGGGGAAGGGGGCAGGGATGTAAAATGCTAATACTGCTTTGGGAAACAGTTTGGCATTTCTTCAAACAGAGTTACCATATCTTCCAGAAATTCCATTCCTAATGGAAATGAAAACATGTCTCCATAAAACGTGTGCACAAATATTCATAGCAGCATTATTTGTATTCAAATGTCCATCAATTGATTGATGAATAAACAAAATTAGTATATCCATACAATGGAATATTAATTGGTATTAAAAAATGAATAAAGTATTAATACATGCTACAATTTGAGTGAACCTTGAAAACGTTTTGCTAAATGAAAGAAACCAGTACTGGGGACTGTGTATTGTATAATCAGATTTATATGAAATATCTAGAATAGGCAAATTTACAGAGACTCAGTAGATTAGGAGTTTCCAAAGATTGGAGGGGAAATCGAGAGTGAGTACTGATAGGTATCAGGTTTCTTTGGAGAGGATAAAAGCAGTCTAAAATTAGATAATGGAGGTTACACTACCTCATGAATACACTGCAAAACACTTTATTGTAAACTTTAAGAGGGGAAATTTCATGATATATAAATTATGCCTCAGTAAAGATGTTATTTAAAAAAATAAAAATGAAATCCAAATAGGATTAATCAAACAAAAAGAAAATCCATGTCAGGACACATAGTTCAACTTGTAAAAATGTAAAGGAAAAAACTGAAAGCTTAGAGA